TGTGAACACAAGAACAGATCAGAAAACAAAAGAATATATCCAGCTCATCCCTGAGGAAAAAGAAATGCTCCTCCACGTTTCCTTCTCAGCTTAACGTACAGTGTTGCTCTCCCTTTGATGGTCCTTCCTTGTTCCAAATTGAGCTGCTGCTTTCTTCAAAGTTTTACTTTCAAAGATGAGGTCCCATGGTATCACATCTCACCTTCAGCCCTCTCCCCCACCCTTCTCTACAACCCCATGATATTTGGTGCAGAAGGCAAACAGCTTGTCAGGCGGTGTTATGGTTGAAGTTCAAAACAAAAGAAAAAACGTGTCATGGTGCTAATGGTGTTTTCTTGTTATTATGCATTCTGGTGTGATAGATCCACAGGGTAACTAACACTGTCTAGATTGCTTCTTTTTTAGTGCTGATTTATTTTAACAGGTTATTCACTGATTTTTCACCTAGGACAACTGGAGAGATGTCCAACATATTTCTTCTCTATCCTTTTTCATTATTAAAGCAGTTGTTTCCACTGTATTTTGGTAAGTTCCTTCCAGTAAGACCAGAAATTTTATAATCCCTTGCCTGACCACTTCTGGCCCATCTCAAGGGATGCTGGATTCCAGCTACAGCTTTTTAGGATTTTTTCCAACCTTCCTTTTAAATAAACCAAGGTTCCTCTCCTTCCCTCACCCCACCTCATGTTCACAAACAAGCAACAGATGCCATTGATTCACTTTGTACCTAAGCTTTTGATCTGGTAGCACTTTGATTTTCAGAGCTCACTTTTGACAAGGAAGGTAATAAGAGCCCCATTTTTGTGACATTGAGCCTTTTCTGCTGTGGTAATTTATTTGTGCTTTAATAATAATTTTCTGCTGATCCGTGTAGATTCTTGATGACAGCCACACAGAACAGGACAGAGTGACAAAAACATGCTTTCCATCACCCTGAAATCTTTTCCAGAGGCCTGGGGTAGTGTGGGCTGCTGTCCCCTCTGATAACACTTTGCCTGCTCACTAAAACAGGACTGTGGTCTTGTGCACAGCAGCCATGCCAGGCTGGGAAAAGGTGAATGTCACACAGCCCCCAGCACTGGGTGCCCCCCCCCAGGACTGACATCAGGGAAGAAGGCTCATTTAATGCCTTCCAGGCAGCCAGTAAAAACAAGAAAAAGGCTTCTCTAAGAGGCTTACATACAAAACTGTACCAAAAAGGGCAAACCAAAGACAGCAAAGCTGGGAAAAGCAATGTTTCTGTGCAATAGCTCCATCCTGCCAGGTGCTCCTCTGAGACCTTGCTGGGACGTGTGGCAGGCAAAAGCTTTCAAAACCATTTTAATGCAAATCGACTGTATAACACATAACCTGGTATTTCAGCCCCCTTTCCCACAAGGGCACAATCATTCCCTCTGAGGCCTCAGCAGCCTCCTCAGCCCTTGCACAAGAGCAGCTCCTTCCTGCTCTGCAATGCTCAGCATCACAAAGAAGGATGAGGAGTAGAGAGGGGCTCAGGGCATTGCACCTGGGCAGCAAAACAGGCAGAAGAGTCAGATGTGCAGCACCAAGACTGCCCATGTGTGCTGCAATCACAGCCAAGCACCAGTGGCTTTTTTACCTATGATCCAACTTCAGTGAACAACCTGCATCATCCCTCCTGCCAGCAGCAGCATTGCTGGAGCCCTTTCCCACCAGCTTTCATGATGAGAAGAGCATTTGCAGAGGAGCTAAAAAAGACCCCCAGCAATCAGGGCTGAAAGGGCAAGCCAGCACCAGAAAATCCAAATGCCACCCTCCTCCAGGGAGGGCTGCCCACTCCCAGCTGGCAGTCCTGGCTGGGCTCCTGGCAGGCACCTCTCCCCGTGCCCTGAGAGCAGCAGGGACAAGAGCAGGCACCTAGCTGGCAGGAGGTGTGACAAATCCTTGGCAGAGCACTATACCAAAGCAATTTTCAAATCAGCAACAAGAATTTGACAGCTCCTGTAAAGCCCTCTCAGAGTGCCTGGGCTGCTCTTGGAGGGCAGATGCAGGAGCTGGGGAGAGGTGTGGGAACATCCTGCTCAGCAGGAGGAACCTGGGGCAAGCCCCAAAGCATGACCATAGATCCAGACATCATCTGGCAGTTTGGTACACCATGGTTTCCCTTCCAGCTAAGAAACTTTATATAGTTGCTCATGTAAAATGAAGTTTAATGTGGCTATTAAGATTCTACAAAATTATGCCTGGAGATGAGGAAACAAAATCAACTAAGTAGCAACTAAGCCTATATTGATTTTTATGTGTATGTTTCTCTATCATTGTTACTAAGCTGGTGACACTGTGAAGGGCACAATTATTTATGTTCCATCAAATTAGTAAGTAATTCAAATCCCTGATGAAATATCAAGCAAAAATTGCTTTCACTTTTACAGAAAGTACTTATGACTTTGGAAATGTCTGCATACCCCTGGAAGGGCAATGTAAGAACTCCACAGAAAAAAAGAAAAATTATACAAAAAATGTTTTAAAAAAACTATCTCATCATTCATAAACATCATCTTTGTGTTCACCTGAGTGTTACCAGATCTGTCACCACTGTGGGCACAGGCAGTGTGGGAACCCTGTACAGAGTGGTGCAGAGTGGAGTCCCCACACAGGGCCAGGCCTTCTAGTAAATGACAAAATGAGGATGATGAGGGTGTGGGTGTGCATTCCCATGCTGAGAACTGAATGAGTATGAGGAAGGAGTGAGTGCTCAGCACAACCCAGGAAACATGCTCTGCCAGATGGAGGGAGAGGGATGAGAAAACCTCAAGGTTTGTAAGTATTCTTAATTTTACATTATACATCTGTGCTTCTGTATTGTGACAACCACCTAAAACCAACATGGAAATTGAAATGTTATAAAATGCAAAGAAACTTAAGGCTTCAATTTTGATTTCTTTTGTTGGATTCCTGCTTGATCCAACCACTCTATTCAAAAGCCACAAGAGTTTTTCACTGTACTTCAGCCAAAAAGTCCATGTTGCCTTAGGGTCCCAGTTGAATGCAAGGCAAATGGAAGGCAGGAAGAAGCTTTTCAGTTAAATTCATAAAAAATGTGCTCATGTAAGATGTAAGTAAACCACATCAAGAAAAGAAACGTAAGAATCTGGAATAAAACCCTCACATCTTTACTATTATTCTATATAATAACATTAAAAGAGATGTTACAAGAATTCCTCACTGAAGTGTTCTATCAATATTTAAGTTAAAGAGAATGATCTCTTTCAACAGCTGCTTTGCAGGAGGAAATTCCTTTAACCACCAAAAGAACCTTAGAAAAGGCCTTTAATCAGGGCCTTTGAAACAGGAAGGAAAGCATGATTTTCCTCTTTTTCTTCCTTAATGTTTTGAAAAGGAAACAAGCTATTGAAATATATCAAGTGATTTCCTTTACTTGAAACACTAGCAGACTTCTGTGCATTGTGTGCAAAATAAAAATAAACACCTTTTATCCACCCAGATTTTGCTGTGGGTAAGACAGCACAGAGATGGACTGATCATTATGTGGTCAGGGAATCACAGCCTCAGGACCGAGTCACATCCTACCCAAACAATTAATTTTGGGAATGGAAGAATCCTCTTAGGAGACACTGGTGTGATTATCCACTGTTTTGTCTGCAAGGAGCAAGACAGGGAGCAGAAAAACCTGATGAAGTGGCCAAAACACTGCATGCTTGCAGGGAGTTGGAGTCTTGGAATAGAAAGCAGGTAAAGAACAAAACTAAAAAAAGAAATCCCAGTCCAGTTAAGTGGCAGCTTGGCTGCAGTGTCAAATTACACAGACATTGAAAAAAACCTTGCAGCCTAACGCATCCCAGCTTTGCTTTTGCTGGCCTGTTTTGTTATCCAGCAGCAAAGAGGTAATAACTTCTATTTTTGTGGAAAACCACACCAGTTTTTCAGCTCAGTGTGTTGTTTTTATTTCACAGCAGAACACTGCAATTTATAAGCAGCAAAACATAAGGAAAATTCTCTAAATGAAGGACTTTATGGCATGTTATCATTTAACCCGTTTTTCACTGTGTTTGGATTTATTTGCCTTCTCAGTTGCAAAGTTAAATGATTCTGAAAGGAGAACAATTAATCCAAAATCCTATTTGTTTTAATCTAACACTGTCAACTAGTTTTAGGTTTGCAGTCAAGAGAAAAAAAAATGTCTGTTAAGCTCTACAGCACTAGCTAATGTCTAAAGACAATCCTCAGAAAAGGTACAAAGATGTTTTATCACAGCACTATAGATGGAACAGAGATTTATTATTGTACTGAGCACCATTCCAGAAGATGCCTTTTGAATTACAATGAGATTATTAAAACTTTACAAATCATTATTTTAAAACCTGACAAGAGTACTTTGGGAACCAGAGCATCTTGATGTCATTGCTGATGATGCATTACCTGTGGTAAGGCTACAGAAAAATTCCCAAGTAAAAAATTGGTTATAAAAGTATAAAATATATTAATATTTATTTTAGTACCTGCTATAAGTTCAAGGATAATAGGTACATGCATCAGAACAGCTGAATGATCGAATTTATGCCAGCATTAGAAAGATGTTCATCTGCTGCAAAGTTTAATTAATTTTCATAGATAGTTAATTTTCTGTTTCATTATCAGTTCCCTAAATTTATTTACAAATAGAAACTTCAGAGAGGTGTATTTTTAGAGCAAACAGAAGATAAATAACAGAGTGAAGTATCCAGGCTGCCTTCGAAGTTCTAATATGAATGATAGATTGCAGCAGGTTGTGATTGATAACTTATGCATTCTGGAGCACTGACTGAAAAGAAACAAATTGTTTACTGTTCACCCCAAACCATTCCCAGGTAACAAATGACTCTGATCTTTACCTATCAAATAATGGCTGTGATGCCCTTAAACATCAGTGAATGAGGAATGTGTGGGCTGTGTCCTTCCAGGGGTGACCTGATCCCTTAAGGACAACATTTCTGCCCCTCTCCCCTTCCCAACAAAAGAAAGTTTAAGCAGCTACTTACCATGATGTACAACGCCCTTCAACCCATGGATAATGGGATCCAGTGCTGAATTGTCCCTCTGACTGACCTACATGCAAAGGATACAGGATTGGTTACATCTCCTCTGGCATTAGGCAGAACAGTTTCAGTTTAATCTTCTAACGAGAGAGAGAAAAAAGATGTTACCTAACAAGCTGCTTAGTTCTCACATTTACAATGGATCTTCACCAAATGCCTAAGGTTCATGGTGTCACAAAATAAAGTGGGGAAGGTTAAATAAAAATAAAATGTGTCCTCTATGTTTTTTAAAACGTTAACCACATTATCAGCCTTGCAAAGCCTAAAAACACAGAGCTGATTTTTCTCCATCTACTCCTGCTTTCATAGAGGAGAGCTGCTGTGATAAACAGAAGTCATCTCAGACCAGTTCATTCCTTACCAACATGGCCATAAATCTGCTGCTGACACTGCAGTCAGTGAAGCTGGATCCCTTTCAGCCCTAATGGAGTTTGGCCTTGGCATCTCATTGCTATTCACATTTTAAAATTTATTTAATTTAGTGTCACTTGGACAAAGGAAAGGCAAAATAGCTCTGTGAGAGGATCTAGAAAAAAACAATCAATTTTTGACAGTGTAATTGCCTACACTGCCAGACCAAGACCTGCAACATTGCTTCTATCACTCAGAAATTGCCCATGTCCTCCACAACAGTGAGGTCCACCACCACAGAGAGGAGGGAAAGGCAGCAGGAAGGATTAACCCTGTTGATCTCCACAACTTCCAAATTAAACCCATCATTTCAGTCACTTACTTGCACACAGCCAAGGAATTCACAACCAACAATGCAATTTTTTTAAATCTTTTGCCTCTTCAGAGGTACTGTAGGAATAACTCACAATTCCTGTGAACATGTTCCACGATTTAAGATACTTGCCAATTTACTTTTGGGAGATAAATACTGCCATGTATCTTACTCATGGGGTACATTCTTCCTTCTTTTCCCCACCAGGCAGCTTCAGAACATGAGCAGTGCTGATAATTTCTGGATGGACAGCTCCTAATGGGCAACACGTCAGATACAAAAGAGCTGCCCTGTATTTTACTGCCTGCTGATGACCTCAACATCATGAAGAAAAACAGAATTTAATCACATTATGGCTGTGTATTAATGCATTTGGAAAGGAGTAGAGACAAAAGAAGAAAACTCTGAGCAAGGACCGTGCACCCAGAAGGGAACACACTGATCCATGAAGGGCAGAACCAGCTTGGAGCTGTTCTTAGGTGAAGGACATCACTGACCACAGCACATCCAAAAAATGTGCTGTAAAATATCACAAATTTTAATAGCTTGACAAGAAAACTGGAATCCACTGCCCAAATTTCACAAGCACAAGCACCTCTCATCTTGTCCTTCCTCCCCATAACTAATTAGGAATCTTAGAAATCTCATTATATCCTCAGGCAACTGCATTGAGATAAACCAAAACTAACCACTTTTCTTTTTCCCTTTATTTGCCCTATGAACTACTCTGCTGTGTTCAGGACACATTCTCATGCACTCCTCTAGAAACAACATGGTTTGGTGTTGTAAGTGGAAATTGAAAATCCTCTCCTCATCACAGTACTCCAGAACTTGCAATGATCATCTAGGGCAAGAAATGCAATAAAATTATCAAAGCAGCAAAAGCAGCTTTGAAATATATACAGCTCAGATGTTACTGGATGTAACACCATTACCCTGAAGGCTGCAAGCTCTTTGAAGCATGAACTTTTATATGCCCAAAAGGGTGCTCTGTACACTTTGGATCCTATATAAATAATAATCACAGGACAGTGGACCCAATTATCCAGTTTGTAGGTTCTGTCTGACATCTGACAAATCAAAAAGAAACACTAAAAATACAGGGCCTGTTGTGTGACACATTCCTGCATCATTTCCATTTATCCAGGTTTCTCTAACAATGGGCACCATAGGAAAAAAAATCATTAAAATGCTACCAGCATTTAAGTACAAGAATATAAGAAAATCTTGCTCTGGACTTAAGCAATGTTTTATTTATTGCTGCCTAACTATAAGTGGTAAAGAATTTTATTCTGTTTACTTTGGTTTTATTTCTGGTGACAGCTCCAATCAGCTTGAAAAAAGCAAATAGACAGAAAGGATCATAAAGGTTAGAACTCTTCCTTTTGGGATTTTGTGTCAAAGTAGATCAATCCTTAACCTCAGCCCTGGCAGCGCCCCTTTAATCTGAGGTGGTGTGGCTGTATAGATCCAGCCATGCAGCCTCTTTGATAGCACATTCTGCAAATGTGTTCTTCAACAGCACAAAACCAACAGGCACAGGATTGCCGTGGAGGCTGGAAGGCAAATGCTCCCTGCATCTGTAATCTTCTTTTCTCAAGGGGCATGGGGAGCAGGATCTCATGTTTCTTTAAAAATAATATTCAAATAAGTACCACTTGTCAGTTCAGACCTGCATGGGATATAGCTTTATTTTTCCTTCCAGATGCTTTCCTTCCCCCTACCTTACATTCACACACAGTTGTCTCACACCTCAGTACAACTGTTTCAGGATCTTGGCAAGACCATTAGAAAAGTGACCAAAAGTTTTCTCATTTTGTGGAAGGGTTCACACTTCAGAACAAAAGCTTTCTTACATATTTTTCTTCTTCAAATTCTTAAACAGCCCAAAAAACCCACCTTGAATTTCATCTCTCTTTTTTTTTTTTTCACTTATTTGTATCCTTTTTCTGCCTATGTTCACAGAGGAAATCAGGTTTCTGAAATCCAAAATGTCAAGTTCTATCCCCACTGCTGCATGTCTCTGGTTTAACTGGCCTGCAGCTACCACACTGGTTGAGATCAGAGATTCACCCATACAAGAATCCTGTCTCTGATAACAGCTGATATTTAAAAGAAGGGAAAAAAGAAAAAAAAAAAAGCAAAAAAAGCAGAAAGAAAAACATCTCCAGAATAAGAAGTATCCTTCTGACCTGCTTTATGATTCCATGTCATGAAGCTTGAGCTCATATCCTCCTACAAACTGTTTTTAACATTCTTTGTTATACGTGTTCCAGACATGTATTTTTTTATTATCTTATGAACATATCCTGAAGGACAACAGCAATGAATTATTCAGATTGACCTTACATTCCACATTTCTGCTGGTACCTTAGGGAAAGATCCCATACCTGAAACTGGGTCTGGGCACTTTGGCTTCACCCAACACATACCTGCCTAAGCTGGGCAAACCTTTTGCTGTGAGTGAAAAGCTGCGAGTTCCCCCCCAATTTCTTCAAGACCTTACCAGAAGAGACAGAGAGAATGACAAATTCCTTAAGCCACAGGAACTCCAGGCACAAACATAAGCCTACAATGCTGCAGAGTGAGTATTAACAGACAGATGGAAAAGCATCCTGAAATTGCCCTAAAATACCCACAGTCCCACTACTACAAATGTTGCTTCCTGTACAAGATGTTTTTGCTCAAAACTGACTAACACTCTATAGGTTTGCAGTAAACAGATTAAATAATGCTTGCATGCATAATTTATAATTGAAAAATGTCTGTAATCCTCTTCAGCAGAAATAAATAGGTAACCATCATGCTAAGCACAATGGAAAAACAAACACAGAGATATCATTAAGCATTTTCCTGTGCTAACAGAGCTCTCACCATAGGGTAAATATGGGATGAACATGACACGAAGAAGCAAAATCTCTTGTTTATTGTACCTTTTGGGTGACTTCAATACCTGGTGCACATGCCACTCTGAATAGAAAGAATGGCTTGATGCTAATGCAATGAACAAGACAAATATTTGCAATATGGGAAAAGGCAAGGCACAAGTGACCACATTCTGCAGTCATAAACCAGATATGTTCTTCACATGAAGTCACAGTAAATCATACTCTAGACAGGCTGGATTTACTTACAGCTCCTGCATCTGATGCAGGGACTGAGAAATTATTCCTTCTTCAGTGAACAAGGCTGATCAGCCATGAACTCTATTGACAGCAGGGTTAACACCTCTGAGCAGGACAATGTGCTGTGCCTGTGCTTCAAAGTCCTGCTGCTTCTACAGCTGTACCCTTGGAGGCAGGCTAGGGGGCTCAGCCCCTTCTCAGGATAACATTAAAGCTCCAAAAGGACAGTTTCAGTGACTGAGCAGAGCAGGAATGTGAGCAGAGGACAGACCAGAGCACCTCAGCCAGGCTGAGCACGCTAACCCAACCACCAATCCACAGCACCTGAAAATAGACTTTACTGGGCAAGGGACTGCCCCTGTGCTGAGTTCAGCATGTGCTCAGGAGTTAAAAAACACCAGCCTTCTCTCATTGTAAAGCAGCCTGTTCATCTAAAAGCTGTTCATGCAAAGTGCTCTGTTCATCTGATTATTTCAGAGGACAAACTCAGAACCTCCTGAAGACCCTGATTTATCAAAACTCAGCAGACTTGTAAAGTGTTAAAATTTATGCCACATGCTGTATAATTAAAGCCATATGCTAAAGTCATGTAAGTAATCCATGACCTGTCTTTCTGCTGGAAACAGTTCTATAAAACTGAAAAAAAAAAAAAAAAATTTCAGGCAACCATACTGATCTTACCCTGCTTATTTTAGAAACAGTAACAAATAAAAGCAGGGGAATCCCCAAATACATACTGAGGCATTTAGAGAGGCCACACAGCAACATCAGACCTTAACTCTCAGACCCCTGTCCAAAGGACCAGATACCCCCATTGCCCAAAGTTCCAGGCAGCCTCTCTGAAACCCAGATTATCCTCCTACCAACCAAGGAGGTCTGGAGGGAGCACCACAAAGCTCTCTAATGATCACTGGTACCAGCTACCTTGTGAGAAGTAGGTGCATGATTAATCATTTGAACAGATCAGGAGTAGGGAATACACTTTCCTTTTAAAAATCTGTTAGAAGAAAAGGGTGTGGGGAAAAAAGAACTGAAGAAAACTCACCTATTTGGGTTGATACAAAATACAAATTTCTCTTTCATTTCCACCTTAAAAAATATCTGGCATTTAGACATTAAACTGTCATAAATTTGCTGTGACTGCTTTCAAGCTCATTAAAT